AAATATTCCAAGCATTTGAAAGGAGTAATGTTTCCTTCACGAACATTTTTAAAGTTGTAGAGTTCGCCATGTGTTTGCCTGGAACCTCAGCTCCAGCCGAGCGTATTTTTTCAATGATGGGATCAGTGTGAACGGCTGAAAGAGAGAGACTGTCTCTGTCAGTTGTAAGAGACCTACTTTACATTAAAGCAAATTCTGTTATGTCGTGCACAGAATTTCATGAACAAATTAAAAATGACAAGCCATTGTTGTTGAAATTTTCAGAAAAAATATGTAAACACTATTTTATGTTGTATAATATTGTATGTAAGAATATATAACAAAAGAACTACTACTTAGAGTAACGACGGGTAAGAGTTCGCATGGGGCAAGATTCCTATTCAGTTTTATTCTGTAGGCGGTATGTGTGATGGCAACACTTTAATGGTGTTTAATACCTACCTTCAGACCAAGGTTTATATATAAGAGGTTGTCTAGGTTCGTACGCAACCATACTGCGCATTACGTCACATGTGGAAAATAATACCGCCAAGCAATTCAAATTAAACAAAGGCATGGAGCACCACATGGCCATGATGTTGCGTGCGCAATCCGTGATCGCTTACGTCACGAAACACTCCTGCTCTTGCCCCTCGCCCACAAACTAAAATCAAAGTATTGCAGCATAGGAACTTAGACAACCTTTAATATATAAACCTTGCCTTCAGACTACATCTGTCAACGTTCGTTCCGGTGTTAGTATCAAACAGTCTTGGAAATATGAGGTATTTTTATTTTTCGTTGCTTTGCATGTAATATTTGGGTAGCGTGTGGGAAGGTGTAGTTTCTTACTATTACCAATCGCGCCAACAAGTAATTTTCCACTAATTTCTACGTACATTTGTCCGTCATTTATGTGTGGTTTAGGTTTCTCATTTCATTGTCAAATGGCTATACCGGGTTGTTGTTGAAAATATGACCATTTGGGGCAAGTTTGGATTCTTGCCCCAAATCCTTGCATTTTCACGAATGTTACTCTAATAAATTTGGTTCCACGCAATAAATTATGTCAGGGAAATTCTATTCGAAGCGCTTCAAAGGATTTGGGACTTTACGAAAACGACTTAAGTCAGGGAGGGGTGCAACTTCCCTTGGACGATTCCAGAATGTTTTCACTGAAGGGATGGAAAACGAATTAGCTGAACACTGCAAAAATTTAGATAACCGGTTCTATGGTCTCTCATTTAAGATGTTTAGAAAGGTTGCGTATGATTACGCAGAAATGAACAATGTTAACAATCCTTTCTCTAAAGTGTTAAAATTGGCAGGGAGGGACTGGGCATACAGATTTATTTCTAAACACAATCTCTCTTTAAGAATGCCAAACCCTACTAGTCTAGCGAGAATTATGGGTTTTAATCAAGTGCAAAGCAATGGTTTTTTCGATAACTTAGCCAGCCTGTATCAAAAATATCAGTTCACACCGAGCACAGTATTTAACATGGATGAAAGCGGAATTACAAAATTCCGAAGGTACTGAGCACAAAAGGCAAGAAGATTGTAGGTAAAGTTTCGTCTGCTGAGCGGGGAGATACAGTAACAATTGTATGTGCAGTAAGTGCTGCGGGAAATTATATACCACCGATATGATTTTTCCGAGAAAGAGATTGAAAAATGAGTTAATGGAAGGTGCCTCGCGAATCTATTGCTATGTGTTTCGATTCTGGTTATATGAAGAGCAACCTCTTTGTAGTCTAGCTCAAACATTTTCAGTCAAAAACTAGACCAGGTGAAGAACATCCGCATATACTCCTCGCATATGTCACTTGAGGCTGTGATGTTCTGTAGGGAAAACAACATCCACATGTTGACAATTCCTCCACACAGCAGCCACAGGATTCAGCCTCTTGACTGAGGAATGTGACAAATGGCTTCTGCACAATGCAGGACGATGCATAACTCATTTTCAAATCGCCAAAATTCTCGGAAAAGCTTACGAACGTTGTTCCACTATGGAGAAGGGTGTGAAGGCATTTGACGTCTGTGGAATTTACCCAATTAATAGAAATGTATTTTCCGAGGAAGATTTCTTGCCCTCCTGTGTAACTGACGTAAATAATGCGGTAGTGAATACGAACACATCCAAAGAGCAACAAAAACGCTACGATGTCGAAGTGGACTCCAGTTCTGACGACGATCCTGAAAGCACAGTTCCTCTTAGTATTTTACGGAATCAGTTAAGCAACCAATTCCTGACCCCTAACAAGCTTAACACAAGTAAAGTTTTCAAGCAATACGAAGCGTCCGAGCAGACTGTTGAAGATCTCTACCAACTTTTCGTAACGATTCAAGCTCTGGTCCCATTCCATCAACTTCACACGCAATCGTAGAGAAGCACTCTGTCACCCCAAAAGATATTGTTCCTCTTCCTAAAAGAAGGGAGGAGCAAAAAAGGAAAAGATTAGGAAAGAAGTCAGAAATATTATCCAGTACACCGTTCAAGGAAAAACTGGAAGCAGACAGAGATGAGAAGGGTAGAAAGGAGGCAGGAAAGAAATGCAAAATGTTTCTTTACAATAAGCGTGCTCACACCAAGAAAAGAAAGCTTGAAACTACCGCTGTTGAAAAATTTAGACAAGAGACTAAATTAACTAAAAAGAGGAGTAAATTGTCTAGTCGCCAGGAGAAATATGTTTGCCCGCGTTGCAAACGAGAATATCAAGAGCCACCCGAAGAGGATTGGATCGAATGCTGCCATTGCAAGAAGTGGTGGCATGAGATATGCACTTCTTATAAAAATATAGGCCCATTTGTATGCGACAAATGTGTTGGAAATGTTTATACACGATGGGACTCTTGCCCCCATATTATTTGGACTCTTGCCCCACTGTTGGGGCAAAATGCCGATTATGAATTTCTAAGAATGTTATTTTATGTTTGATGTTTTATGTACTCGACATTGAAGAATATATTTATTTTGTTAAGAGTAATGTTCATTGCATCATATCCCACCAAATTCGCATCGATATTGTTAGTTACGCGGAGAAAAAAAAAGTTAAACTGTTAGATGCGTTGTCTTGCCTCATGTTACTCTACTATAATAGATTATGGTAACCAAATTATGGTAACCCTATCTATAGGTACAGTTAACTATGCATATCCTATATTACAGCTTTTATTTAACTGATTAGGTATTTTATCTGTATCATATCTAAATAAATCTATCTATAATATTTGATGATATTAAAATTATTTGAATAATGTTGGTTGATTTTCCGCATTTGTTCCACGATTTGTGATATATCTTCGGCCCATTTACATAAAGAGCGAGATCGTGCACATACATTATCGTTATATATGGAGTGTTTGATAAAGGAGTCCCCCTACGATAAAGTAGTGAGGGCACTGCTGCTGGTGGTGCTGCGCGACAAACAGACGGTTCCCGTCGCGCGATAACGTTCTCTATTTGATGTGCACATAAACGTGTTTATACAAGCCCCGTTCCGACGAACCAACTTACTGCCGTTGTTATTAAATAAATTAGGTGGCAGTGGAGGTGTCAAGCAGCGGCGGCAGACTCCGGGCTCCGGCTGCCGCATTTAACAGGCTCCGAGCTGTATTAATTTGTAACTACGCACTGCCGTGATATGTGTGATTACTATTTGCGTTGTTTACACAAGCGTAATTTATCGATGAAACGAGAATTACGAGCACGCAGTCTTAAGATGTTTCCGTTTTCCTCGCAAGCAAATGTCGTCTCTATTAACCTCTCAAAGATATCGTGAAATTTAATTGAATAAGGCCCACTTTTACCATCTCTTGATAAATTTAACCGATAGATAAATTGGCGTTCTTAGCCAATGAGAGAGCTGAAAACCGCTGTAACCATGGTAATTATCTATCGGTTAAATTTATCAAGAGGTGGTAAGTAACTTTAACTGCTTTATAATAAAGATTGTACATTTTAAACGTCTCAATCCCGTTAGACACTAACAGCAGCACGACTAAAGCTCGCGGATAGAAAAACAACTAACTCCCCGTTTGTTTGACTTCTCGCGCTTCCACTTCAAAGGATCGCGAGGGAAACCGAAGTATAGGGCAAATAAATCACGACCAATGGGGCTCCACCTCGGACTCGTTTCCGAGAAATTTAATAACTTCAGGCTTCCTTGGTAGCTCTTTCTTCAATTTTTCAAGTCTCACTCGAAGAATACCACGCGGTGTACATTAAACAGAATCAACTCGAAGAGAAGTAAGGAATTTTTTGAGTGGGCGGACCAGATTATTTTAAATAGAATTAAAGATATTAATTTTTATGTCATTATCAGCGAGATAATCTAAAAACTCTCAAAATGTTAAGAGATCCGTATCAATTTGCTTTGAGATTAACATTAAATCTAATTAATCAACACAACAAATAATGAGTTTTAGGTAAATCGAAATAACATAACGCTTTTATTCCTTTAAATTCGTTGTTTTTGTATTTTTTTTAACGGCGTGAGGTCGAAACGTTCTTTATTTTACTCGCGGCTACGATTATCCGATATAAATTACTTCGGTGGAGTCGAGTCGTTGTGTTGTAAGTTTCTCTCTACAGTAAACGCATGGGAAAGGGTCACGGAAATAGAAAAAGGCGATCTCTTGTATGTGTGTGCGAGGACGTTGCCTAACACTATCGAGCTATCGCCTGTTCAGGTGTAATGTACCGATTGTTTGGACGTGGAATCTGATATAAATAAAACCCGATACACGTGTAACTTAATTTTAACAACCGACCACAAAAAGAAAAAAAATCGATTCAAAATGCCTAAATTCACTCGGAAATGAAAGGGTCATTATGAGATCGGTTTAGAAACCTATTTAGTTTTTAAGGTAACATTTTATCTAGTAAATGGTTCCGTAAGAACATAATGGGCTCTTCGGCTCGTCCACTTCTGCTCCAATTAAATCAGCTCGATAAGATGTGCGATAAAAAGCTCTCGAAAAGGAACTTTCGTATCGAATCGAAATGTCTTACTTACCTCTAGAAGCTGGTGATCGTAGAAAGTTATCCACGGCCGCAATAAACCTAAAATTAACAAAAAATAATTATTTAAATTAAAATCGTTCAAATTAAAAAGCTATTAATTTTAACTTTTAATTATTGCATTTATAATGAATATCGTATTATACTGGGTATGACATTGTAACGTAACGGGTGTGACAAACGAAAAGTTGACAAAATCAATGTTAATAATTGATTATTAACGAAGTATTTAGGATTTTATTGCATAATATAGTCTTGTCTTAACTTGTTCGAATGATTACTAGCAGTATTATTACGTAAACTTGGTTGTAATAATCTCTGTCTAATTGCTGTAACGGGTGTGACAAATAAATACTTAAATATGTAAAATTTTTAATGATAATGAAGCCCAGCTGGGAATGAAAAATGTAATTTGAAATTTGTATAAAATGTGTAAAATTTTATGTTTGCGTCTTTTTTATCTCTTGGTTTTTCGAGTGCGGCAAGTTAGCCCCCATTTCTTGATTTTTAAATTATTCATTGTTGTTCTAGATTGTTCTAGAGTTGTTCTACATTGTTCCAAAGCAGCAAATAGAAAATATAAAAATTCGGCGAGAAAAATCTTCATTCAGCATTACGAAGTTATAACTAAAAATAGGTTTGTCTGCCAAAATGTCTAGGTGATTACTGTGACCATAGTTTTTCTATTTTCAGTTCCATATTACAAATATATACTTATTATACCTAAAGCAATCTGAAACAGCTAATATTTTCAGTAGAAGAACAGTAGAAGAAAAGGTTTTTACAGTTTCATTATTTATATTTCAAAGTGTAATTTCATATTTTTAAAATGTTTTTTATATGTTTGCTCTTTGTGATGTTGATTTTATTTTATTGACCATTCGGCTGAAGATGACTAAGTAAAATTAGTTGAATGAACTAGTTAATTGAATTTTGCAAGATAAGAAGTTATATTTATTTGTTTATTATTTTAATATTTAAACGAAACTTGCAACATGGATATGAACAGTCTTATTGTGTAATTGAAAACCACTCACGCAAGAATTATTGACTGAAACTTCCAAAAACTTTAATTTTCAAAGAGTAAAGTGTCCTTCATAGAGTTAATATTTATTTGGTTATTTCTTTCCATCTAAATTTTAATGTAAATGCAATAAAACTATGTGTATTTATAGATGGATTTTTTTAATTTTCAGCTCTACCGGTTTCGATCAATACATTTAATCATCCTCAGGAGCAACCTAATGTAATATAAATAAAGATCATTTACTAAAACTAACAACATTCAAAATTTCTGTTTCTATCGTTACATTATGAATAAAATAAAATGAAACTCACGTCAGTAAAAATATTTTTAAAAGACATATTTGTTTGTTAATTAAGCTGTTATCCTCTTAACCTTGATTATTTAATTCTTCTCTTCCTTGTTACCCAGTTATTAATTCAAAAATATATACAGGGTGTATCTGAATGACTGCAACAAACTTCAAGGGGTGATTCTTTAATGAATTTTAAGGGTACTTTGATATACACCCCTCCAAAAATGGCGGAAAATTTTGGTTGAATTTGTTTTTCTCAAAAACTATAAACGCTAGGAAAATGAAATTTGGGGAATATGTTTAACTCATAATAGGGCATGTTTTGACCCTACTTGTACTTTCAACCTATCCTTCTAAACTACTAAACGTAACCACCCCCTTCACATTTTTGCTAATATTTTTTTTATACAGATGATAAATACATTACAAAAATTTTATCTAGGTAGATGAAAGTATCCTAAAACTTTTTTGTCTCTCTAAAATTTTTCCAAAAACGACTAATTTTTGAGAAAAAAAATAATAAAGCAAACACTGCCCGTTCAACAACGGGGTTGTCGATCAAAAGTTGGAATGAATTTTTAATGAAAAAATCTTAGTAGGCTTTGCAATCTTTGTCAGAAATATTTTTGACGTTTAAATGTCAGTGTTTTTCTTACTATTATTATTGTTTTTCAAATTAATTTTTGAATAAAGTTCTATCGCATTTACGCTCGTTCACTCGACGTTTCAAAATTTTAAATAAAACAATAATAATAGTAAGAAAACCACTGACATTTAAACGTCAAAAATATTTCTGACAAAGATTGCAAAGCCTACTAAGATTTTTTCATTAAAAATTCATTCCAACTTTCGATTAACAACCCTACAGCTTAACAGTTAGTGTTTGCTTAATTATTTTTTTTCTCAGAAATTATTAAATTTTAGAAGAACATCAGAGAGACAAAAAAGTTTTAGAATAGTTTTATCTATCTAACTGAAATTTTTCCAATGTATTTATCATCTTCATAAAAAAAATCTAGGCATAAATTGAACGGGGGTGGTTACGTTTAGTAGTTTAGAAGGGTAGGTTGAAAGTACAAATAGGGTCAAAAGGTGCCCTATTATGAGTTAAACATATTCCCCAAATTTCATTTTCCTAGCGTTTACGGTTTTTGAGAAAAAACAATTAAACCAAAATTTTCCGCCATTTTTGGAGGGGTGTAGCTCCCTATATGAAAGTACCCTTAAAATTCACTAAAGAATCACCCCTTGAAGTTTGTTGCAGTCATTCAGATACACCCATGTGTTTCTTTTCTTTTATTTTTGAGGTTATGTGTGTGTAGTGAAGTTAGCTGCCTTTATACATTTTAAATTTAAATTAATTTGTGAAATGTTAACAAAAAACAATTTAATCTGTATTATCGTCATTGTTTAAAATTATCTAATTAGTACCAGGTTCTGTGACTTTGTTGTCTTAATTGTTTATGGAAAATGGATCCGGTAGGAAAGGTGTAGATTTTAAGGTGACGAAGGGATTTTTGGTTGCCATGGGACCCAAAGTGTTGCGATGTTCCTATTGCAACCTTATAGGACATCCTCGTTCACTTGGGGTTTTTTTTTTAAAGGGGTGGGATTGTTAAGCTTCTGTATGGTACTTATTAAATTTCTTTGGTGTTTGTTGTATGTTTTTCTGGGGTTAGTTCTGTATGAGTATTTTAATTATGTTATTTTTATCTTGTTTGTATGACCGTAATAATATCTTGTGATAGAATGATGATTTTTTCAAAACATGGAACTGGAAAAAGGAATAGTATAGGATAGGTGTGGATTGTAGTGTTATTGGAAGGAAATGTTCTCTACTTTATAGAGTTGTTCCAGTAAAAATAGTAGCTGTTCCAGATTGCTTTAGGTATAATAAGTATATTATATTTGTAATATGGAATTGAAAATAGAAAAACTATGGTCACAGCAATCAGCTAGACATTTTGGCAGCCAAACCTATTTCTAGTTATAACTTCGTAATGATGTATCCCATAATTTTGATTTTCTAGAACAATAACTAGAACAACCCAAAACAACAAAGAAAATTTGATTTTTCCAAAAATGGGGGGCTAGTCAAAAAACCAGTTTTTGCGGTTTTTCTCGCCGAATTTTTATTTTCTCTATTTGTCGCGTTGGAACAATGTAGAACAAATCTAGAACGACAATGAAAAATTTAAAAACAACTTACACTTCAGAATAAACAACTAAAAATGGTTTCCAATAAACAACTGATCAATCTTATGGTGAGGTTCAATATATATTGTTCTTCCACCTCACCATAAAGTATATAAAGAGGAAAAAAACAGTATAGTATTTTAACATATAATACTTAAGTAATAATACTTAGGTGAATCGATACCATGTCAGTACTCGAAAGGGTTCCCCAGAAATTAAGAACAAATTTAGGTAGAACAAAAAGATTACAAAAACATTCAAACGCAAAAGCAAGATCTGTGACTATTAAGAGATTTACAGGTATTGCGAACACTGCTGCCCAAACAGAAAATCAGCATAGCGCCTCCTCGCGGTGGCGGCAGACCCACACTCTGTCAATGCGCAACCAAAAGGGAGCTCATTAATTACTTTGCATATCTGGTATGAGAAGCATTTTTTAAAACTCATAGTGTGGAATATTGGTGGAGATAGCCTTCCCTTAAACCTCACATTAACCGAGTGCACGTCACCTCGAAAAGACAACTTTTTTACAAGATACGCTGGTTTATGTAGAGTGAGTAATTTATGGTAAAAACCTACAGCATGCAACATTCTTCTCCCCTGCATGTTCAACCACTTTAAAACCGGCAGCTTACAGCTGACATGATCTCTGCGTTTCAACCCAAAAATTAGTCTGATACAGGTGTTTTGTACCTTTTGAATTTTCCTCTTCAATGCATAGGACAGAANACCGGCAGCTTACAGCTGACATGATCTCTGCGTTTCAACCCAAAAATTAGTCTGATACAGGTGTTTTGTACCTTTTGAATTTTCCTCTTCAATGTATAGGACAGAAAGGGTGCATACAATGCATCGCCATAATTAAACATTGATAGTACTAAACTTTCGCATAGGCGCACTTTTGCACTATGATTAACAAAAGCTCTGTTAGTATAAATAATTCTAAGGCTATTTTTGAACGCATTTATTGACGTGTTCATTAAAAGTAAGGCCCTCATCGATTAAAATGCCTAAGTTTTTTACTATTTTTTTAATAGGTAGTAATTCGTTATTTACACAAATATGTAAGGTGTCACGCAAATATTCTAGATCACTATTAATTCGCACACAAGCCTGTTTTATATCATCATTTATACCCGATTGGTTCTGTGGTAGTATATCATTCTCCTCCACAAAGGAGACCATTTGTTCATAAAGAATTTATCTGCAACCTTTGCTAATACTGGCAGAATACTAATGGCTCTCAGGTCGCTAAGTACCGTAGGTTTAGAGATTTTGGAAAGCGGTTTTATTACGGCTTTCTTCCATGTCATTGGAAAAACACATGTTTCGATGCACGCATTTATATACGCATTTAAATGACTCCACGTATCTACCGAATGGAAGTCTAGCCCCCAATAAGAAAAAAATAATTTTGATTAAATTCGCTATAACTAACGCACGGTTAGACGGATTTTAATGTTTTATATCTCAAACGAAAGCTTGCCTCTGCCTGGATAATTATGTCGAAACACCCGTTCGAAATATTTAAGAATTTTGATTAAAACACAAAAACTACTTAGTCAAATGAGTCAATTATCTCCCGATAGAATTGAAAACGACTCACCGAATGGATGTTGTTTCCTTTGGATTTTACTTCGAAACTCAGCTGGAAAGAAAAGATAAATAATTTATTGTGACAAAAAAAATGAATTAATACGATACCTTCTAACATCACTAATATCACTATATAACACTTAGCATAAATATTGCACGTATTTATCACTTAATTCAGGTAATAAGTTTTATTTTTCAAAACTACTCTATCACTCTTAAATGCCCGCATATCAACTAAAATGCGTTATTAGCCAATCAACTTCCAAACATCCCCTCCTTAATTTATTGTGTGAAGAGGGAATACTGGAGGTGAATCAACAAAAAATGTAAAGACGACGGGGCGAAGCGGTTTTAAATCGTTTTTTGGTTTTAAAACTCAACCTTTCAATAAAAAAATTACTCGTTTTCTCGAAACATTTCAAATAAAACTAACATTTTATTAAAATAAAACGCACTATGGAATTTTAATGTTCAACACTTCCTGCAAAAGAATCAGGTGCCCAATAAATCATTAAAACATTGGATTATGCAACATCCCTTATTCCTTGTGTCATGAAATATAAATTTAAAAAAATCGTATCTCAAGAACGAATTGAGATATCATAATGTAACAGTTGAAATTTTTTAAATGGCACCCTTTCGTTAGGCTCATTTGATAGAGATTTTTTTTCTCTTTGCCATGACGTAAAAATTGGACCCAAATGTTAAAATTGTTTATTAAGAAAATTTAACTAATATCATTAATCTAAATATCTGACTAATTTTTCGTTTATTTGTTTTATTTTGTATGTAAATTTAATTTACGGTAATAATTCGAGGTACTTGACGATCTCGGATATCTTAATGTTATTGATTAATTTTTATTAGTAAACAATTTTTACATTTTTTTCAAAAATTTTGTGATGTAAGGGTACAAAAATTTTAAAATTTAATTGACTATCTCAATTCGTTCTTGAGATACGATTTTTTTAAATTTATATTTCATGACACAAGGAATAAGGGATTTTGCATAATCCAACGTTTTAATTATTTATTCTTTTGCAGGAAGTGTTAACCATTAAAATTCGATAGTGCGTTTTATTATAATAAAATTACGTTTTAAGTTTTATTTGAAATGTTTCGAGAAAACGAGTAATTTTTTTATTGAAAAGTTGAGTTTTAAAACCAAAAAACGATTTAAAACCGCTTCGCCCCGTCGTCTTTACATTTTTTGTNTATACCTAACATTTATAGTTTGGGAGATAATTACGGTTTTTTGAAA